TGAAGATGTGCCTTGTTTGTATCCACAGTATCACTTTCATTCATCTGATCCAGTATTTAACCTCTCACTATCCTGGGAAGAACAGCAAAAGGGATTATCCTCTGGTTGCAATGACACATCCAATGGAATGCATCCTTGAGCCAGGAGAGGTTCTGTTTGTTCCAGCAGGCTCACCAAATCAAGTAAAAATTATGATATTATTTTTTCCAAAAATTGGACCTTCAACTTTTTCTTTATGTTATGTAGTAGATGCTATGTAGTAAGTTTGAGATGATTCTGATAAGAATTGTTTGAGTAATGAGGATTTTAAAATGAGCCAAGTTTCAAATAATGCAAACGTTATATATGGCCATGGATTTTCCCAAAAATGGCTTCGAAACCACCCCAAATTTCTATTATATTTTCTGATACATTGATGTCCTTCTACTATGTAGAAAGTTTGAGCCTTCCTGACAAATATTTTTTGAGTTATAGCCAAAATTTTATTAAAAATTGGTCAATTTTCGGAAAAAAGGAAAAGCTATTGCCCATGGTTTTTTCCCAAGAAAATGGCTTCTAAATGACACTCAATTTTTATTATTTCCTAATACACATTAATGTCCTTATGCCATATAGAAAGTTTGAGCTGATCCTGACTTAAATTTTTTGAGTTATGAGCATATGTTAAAACAAGCCAATATTTAAAAGAAAAGCAAAAAGCTATAGCCCTTGGTTTATTTCAAAATTTGGCTTTGAAACTATTCCCAATTTTCATTTTCCAATACTATGCTATGTAGAAAGTTTGGGCTGATTTTAATTTCAATTTTTACATTATGAACATGTGACAAATCTATTTCTATTACAGGTCGATAATCTAGAAGCATCTTTATCCATTTCTGCTAACTTTGTCAATCATTCAAACATTAGTTTAGTGAGACATGAATTGTTGATGGCTTCACTAAATGATGATAGATCAAAGGAACTCCTCTCTTCTCTGAATGCCTTGGAACTCAATATTGACAGTAATACCAGTAGTGAAGAAAGAAAGGATTTGAAGTGGAAAGAGTTTAAGATGAACTAAATCTTATAGGTAAAAAACAATA